TAGTTCCCTCCATGGATACAGAGATACAAGTAATTTAGAAATTTCAGATGTATATTCCCCAAGTCGATTTCCATTAATTTTATGTTTACTATCAGTGCCATTAAAATTGTGTTAACTCTTCGAAGCAACTCCTTGTCGATTCCAGTTATTTTTGAAGTAATTTCAAAATCACGAAAAAACCTTCTCGCCGTTGGTTTGTCGATGTTTAATCCCATCTGAACTTTAAATTCTTCTTGGATTCTGCTTTTTTCCGCAGCTCTCAGTTCTTTCAATTCTTCATTATTTTTTGTTGATTTAGTAAGATTCTCTGGCACACTTCTATATTTGAGGTCGTATGCTATGTGTAAAAAGTAATCCAAAAATCGTATTCTGGCATGAAGTGGTGAAATTCCGAAAGACAGGTCTTCTTCATTAATACTTCTGCTTTTGTTTATATTTGAGAATTGCGACTTTTTCTCATTACATATTGAGCATCTCCAGAAGGAAGAAGTTGCTGTTATGGCATTGCTGACCTTTCCATCAATCATTGTTAAGCTTAGCTGATATGATACGTTAATAGAGAATTCCTTTATTTTTATGCAAATGGGCTCCAGTGCATTTATTTCATCTTTTAAATATTCCACTAAATCTTTTGTTGTTTTCTTTGACTCCTTTATATGTTTAAATCCAATGGGTCTACAAAAATTTTTTGAACCCGGAGTTGTATTGATATATCTTCAAATGAATTTCCGATGCTTGACGATGATGGATTAAGGGAATATGAACGAATTCGTAATGGCACTAATGATGACATAAATACACTTTTGTAGTCTTCTAATGTCCGACTTCCACAAGCTTGTTTGTATTCTGGAAGTGCTGATAACAAAAAAGTTTTAAAAAGTTTTAAATTTTTGATATGCCTGTTTTGTCTACTTTTCTACTATATGTAGTTTTTATGTAATTTGAAATGTCTTCAATTCTTTCTGGCCCTTTTGAAGATACACTCCATAAAACGGAACACAACTCTTGTAGATTTATTAAATATGGTACTTAAAATCTAAGAAGTTTACTTATATACCAATTCTTGTCATTTCCGATACAGGTATTTCAAAGTAAAAAATTACAAATTGTCTACCTATTAACATTTAGGACTATATTACTATAACCTGTAATTCAGTCATTGATATTTCTTATTAGTGAATGAATCGAAATTATCATTACCTGTATATTTTTACCTACATGATCATAAACGAAACAGAACGAAATGATCTGTCGAAAAAATTTAGGTAAAAAATAGTTATAAATTTTTGAAAATTTAAGCATAATAGAACCTTTCAATTATAAGGATAACCGAATAAATGGAAATAGGTAAATATAAGATTTAAATATGTTCTGTCATACTTAATACTAAAATATGAAAAAGATGAAATTAAAGGACACAGGTTTAAATGAACATATTTTTGAATGTAATTGAGATATTGGCTTGAAATTTTTTGTAAAGGGTCGAGCATTTCCATATCTAACTAAAAAATGATATTAAGGGATAAATATGGACTAAATTGTTGTAGCTATCTGCGACCCTATTAAAATTTTGATATAAATCATAGTTTTAGAAATTAAACAAATATGTAATATATGACAAAATCTTTATTTATGGAAAAAACTTAATGAAATTTTCAACGCTTGTTAAATTTGTCATTTCAAATAAGAAAATTGAAAAGGTCAAAGGGCATCCCGCAATTCCCAAAAATAGGAATGAAAATTCCAAAAATGAGATTTTTTACTTTTTTGCCCATAGGGTCCACATTTTTTTCAGGGCTGGGAAAATACTTTTGGAGTAAATAGAAAACATATTGAGGTTTCCAAAAGTGCTTTCAGTTTTCTGATCCCAGCTTTGGGATTTTAGAACATGTCGCCCAAAGTTGAAGTTTTGATAAAAAATAGGTCACATTCGGAAGGACGCAGTGGCAACATTTTCAAAAAATAGAACAAGTTTTTTACGCCAAAGCGTTCTGCGTAAAGATACCTTTTAGAAAACTATAAAATTGTTATATGTTCTTAAAGAAAATTTTATTTTATTAATAAAAGAGTTAAGACACATTTTTGGCAAAAAAACACCAAAAATCTAAAATTTTTTGAATTTTTAAATTAAAAAACGTATATTTTTGGATCAGTAAATGATATTGATCTGAAATTTTTTGTATATTATTGGAAATTATTGAGTCCATTTGGTCCAAAATTACGCCCGGTATTCAAAGAAGGCGGACCAAGGTATGGTAAATTTTGTATCACTAAATTTTTAAATGCCTATAACTCGGATATTATAAGAGATAAGTAGTATGTCCAATCATGTTTTTTCAAGATCTCGTCGAGCGCTTTCACAAAATATAAAAATCTTTGTATTTGGGTGAAAAACAAAAAAATGGCACGAGTTTAAAAATTTTACATGTCGTAGGTACCCTACTTTGAGCCGCCACCGCGCCGTCCCTGGAGCATCTGCAGGGTTCATCTTCAAAACTTAAACTCGAATACTCCTTGGCTACGCTCACGCCAAATTTTGTCCCGATCGGATCAGCCGTTTAGAAATGCCAGATTTATTTCCAAAAAATTTCCATTCTGCCCCATTGTGCAGCCCATATGGGAGCGGCGTAAAGGATAACAGAGCTAACCACCGTAGATATTAGTTTTCTCTTGTATTGTTTCGGCCCACCTACGTTTGGCATCATTCTTTCGAGTGCAACTCTAATATTCGATGCTTTATTGTAAACATACTCAATGTGAGCTTTGAAATTCAATCTAGCGTCTATTATAATCCCAAGGTACTTAAGATGAGTATTTGATCTAACCTGATGTTCTCCTACGGTTATTTCTATATTTTCTCTTTTCCGACGGCTCGTCGTCAGCACTACTTTAGTTTTATGTTCTGCTAGCTCCAGGCCAGCACTTTTCATCCAGTTTCTTATAGTTAATATTACCTCGTTAGAGATTAGTTCTACTTCATCTTTAAATCTTGCTGAAACAGTTACCGCGATGTCGTCGGCAAAGCCTATTATATTTGCTTCTTCTGGAATATTCAGCGTTAATACATCGTTGTACATAACGTTCCATAATAAGTAATTTATTAATTATTAGTCCCCAATTTGCGGAGTTAAACGCGTTTTTTTCATCAAGTGTAATTATTGCACAATATTTTCTGTTTGCGCCTTTGCCTTCAATAGCCGTTCGTGCTATTTCAACTACCATGTTAATCGCATCGATGGTTGACCTAGCCTTTCGAAACCCGTATTGTCGGGTTGATAAATCTCCGTTTTCTTCCACAATTGGTAGTAGTCTATTGTATATTATTTTTCAAGTATTTTTCCACTTGTATCAAGGAGGCATATTGGCCTATATGCTGAGGGGTCTCCTAGACGTTTATTGGGTTTTGTAATCAAGATTAGTGATTGTTTCTTCCATGCTTCAGGGAAAACTGCCTCTTTGTGGCATTGGTTAAATAAATCAACAAATGTTTTAGTTGATTGTTTAATTGCCAACTTAAGAACATTGTTTGGGACGCCATCAGGTCCAGGTGCTTTGTCATCTCCGATTTTATCTACTATTGAGATTAGTTCTTCTTCCGTTGTTAACTCTATGTTTTCTGCGTGATATGGACTTCTTGTTGTAAATACGGAGTTTATGTGTTCTGGAAACAAAGTCTTAACTATTTTATCAAGTAGCTTAGGACAACTGGGTTGGAGGGTTTTCTTTCCCTTAAGGCGAGAGGTGACCACTTGGTAAGCCTTTCCCCATGGATCTGAATCTGCTTCTAAGCATATCTGTTTGAAGCTGTTCTTCTTACTTTTTAGAATTGCATGTTGGAATTCTCTCCTTGCGTATTTGTATTCGCAACACGCTTCTTCAAATCCTGGTCGACCTCTGAGACGTTTAGTCTTTCTTCTGGCTCTTAGACAAGTGGCTCGGAGGTTGCTGATCTCTGAGTTCCACCAATAGTTTGGAGGACGATTCTTTGTTATTCTTCTACTTGGCATTGCAGAATCACAAGCTCTTCTAAGCCTTAATGAGACCTGTTTCGTCATTTCAGATGCTGTTCCATTCAGTTCTGTATAATTCAAAAATTCTTGAGTAAATGCTTCTTTGTCAAGTCTCTTAGAAGCCCATCCTGTATAGTTTACGTTGTTCTCCTCCCTATGGGATCGTCTTCTTTCTAAGCTACTAGTAGAGAATATAATAGCCTGGTGGTAATGTAATGTAATGTCCACTTACTGACCACTCCATAACTCTTGCTAAGGAACTACTTGTAAATGTCAAATCCACAATTGAATTTCTTTCTCTAGCGGTAAATGTCGGTGTATTACCATTATTGTCTAGCACTAGGTTTCGTCCCGAAAAGGCTTCGAGTAGAATGCTTCCTCGGGTGTTGGTTCTTTGGCTTCCCCATTCAACAGCCCACGCGTGGAAATCGCCAGCTATAATTTTTGGGTTATGATGATTTGAGTCCCTTAGCAGATGGTCTAACATCAGTTGGAACTGCACAATTGTTGAGCTTGGAGGAGCATAGCAGCTGTAGATATGGATGCTTCCTATTTTAGCTCTAATAAAACCGTCTTCATCGTGTTCTGAAATTTCCTCTATAGCCTTGTTTCCACAAGCCCAAATAGCAGCTTTTCCACTTAAGTCTTTAACCCATGCAGAGCTGTTCATATCTCTATACTGCTCACTAATAATGGCGACATCAACACGAGATTCGCATATTATCTGCGAAAGCAGGTGCTGTGCCGCCTGACAGTGGTTGAGATTTATTTGTACGAATCTCATTTCCTCATTTTACTAATTGCCTTTTTAAAGACAGGGCATCTTCCACTACCAGCTACATGATTTGTATCGGCATTTTCCACTTCTTTGCAGAACATACATTCTGGATTTTTTTTACAGTCCCTTGCTATGTGTCCGCCAGCTCCGCATCTTCTACATAGTTTCGACCTGTCTTGTTTATTTGTACACGTAGTGGAGATATGACCAAATTACAAGCATCTAAAACATTTCGTAAGGAGCCGTTTTTCCCTTATTCGGCATATCACCCATCCTATTTTGACTTTGCCTATTTCGATGGCTTTACGTCCCATTTCTACTGGAAGCCTAACGCTTGCAGTCTGGGTGCCACTATAACTCTTTCTAAGACTCGTTATATCCGACTCCTTTATTGAAATCCCTAGGTGATTATTGAAAGCTTCACATATATCAGACTTTGTAGTAATTTCGTCAATATCCTTGCATTCAATTACGGTCATCTGTCTACTGGTTCTAATATTAGCCTGCTGCCCAACCGATTTTTCCACCTTTGCTTGGAATTGATCAACACTTTGTTTATTGGCTGGATTAATTTCCAGTAGGAGGTCACCTTTAAGTGTCCTTCTTATTCGGGACACGTATTCTCCAAGATCTTTTAAGTTAGGGTCCGATTTTATATGTTTCAATATATCCGCATACGTAGCCTTTCCTTTCGCTGAAATAATCATTGCTTCTTTCTCCTTTCTTTTTTTTACTATTTTCTTACGTGGCACCGTTCTCCATGAATTTATATCATCATTGGTTTTGGGTTTTCCATTGACAATAGTCTCCATCACTTCAGATTTCTTTTGTGTTTGGTTTGTTATTTTAGACTTCTTGGGTATTGGGGTTTTTGACGATATATCTCCGGACTCCCTGCTTCTCTTTAAATCTTTCATATGCTCCGTTTTGGGAGTTGTTTGTGTTGACAGCTCTTTTGTTTCGGAGGCTTGTAATGTCCCATTTAACGTCATTTCCTTTCTAACTTTGTTGTACGTCGCCTTTATGGCCCATGCTTGGTTCTTAATGGAATGATGGATATTATTCTTCGGCTTCATGAACTTTATCAGTCCATCTATTAGGTTATCCAGTTCTATGAAGAGGGTGTTACCAGCAGAGGTTTCCTCCAGTGTTTCAGTTTGATCGTTAGTCGGTGTAGCTGTAGGTGTTGCGGTCTGTATAGGGATCGATGTCGGTGTAGCCATCGGGGCCGTGGATGGTACTGAGATCTCTGTCGGTGTTGCGGTCGGGGTTGGTACAGAAGTTGTTGTCGGTGTAGCGGTCGCTGTCGGTTTATGAATAATCGGCGTTGAAACATCTGGTGATGCTATTCCAGAGTTTCTGCGAAAAGGATTATCCACATTACACTGCTCCTTGTTTTTGTTCTTGCCTGTAGCTTTAGCTTCTAGCTCAGCCAGGTATGTATGTATGTATGTATGTATGTATGTATGTATGTATGTATGTATGTATGTATGTATGTATGTATGTATGTATGTATGTATGTATGTATGTATGTATGTATGTATGTATGTATGTATGTATGTATGTATGTATGTATGTATGTATGTATGTATGTATGTATGTATGTATGTATGTATGTATGTATGTATGTATGTATGTATGTATGTATGTATGTATGTATGTATGTATGTATGTATGTATGTATGTATGTATGTATGTATGTATGTATGTATGTATGTATGTATGTATGTATGTATGTATGTATGTATGTATGTATGTATGTATGTATGTATGTATGTATGTATGTATGTATGTATGTATGTATGTATGTATGTATGTATGTATGTTATGTATGTATGTATGTATGTATGTATGTATGTATGTATGTATGTATGTATGTATGTATGTATGTATGTATGTATGTATGTATGTATGTATGTATGTATGTATGTATGTATGTATGTATGTATGTATGTATGTATGTATGTATGTATGTATGTATGTATGTATGTATGTATGTATGTATGTATGTATGTATGTATGTATGTATGTATGTATGTATGTATGTATGTATGTTTGTATGTATGTATGTTTGTTTGTTTGTGCTTTATAGACTGCTAAACGTCTGGACCGATTTTCCTGAAATTTTCACTGTTTCTTCCTGTATGTCTGGAAGGATCTATAGGCTACTTTTTCTGTTGAAATTTCATGTGGGCGACGTGCCACGCCCATATTAAGAAAATATTAAATTAGTATATCTGAGATAATATAATAGTTAGAGTCTTCAAATTTTGTCGGAGCGACTTTAGTATCAATATAATTATTTAAGACAAAAAGTGGGCGGATTAGCATTAGGGGGCGTGGCACCTCCCATATAAATTAAATACAAAAATTCGTTTATCTTGGAAACTATTATAGTTAGAATATTAAAAATTTCCACGAGTAACTTTAACATCCTTGTAAACATTTTGGGAAATAAAATGGCGGACTACCCATGAGGGGAGCAGCACCTCCCATGTTAATAAAACACAAAAATTGGTTTATCTGGGAAACTAATAGAACTAAATTCTTCAAATTTTGCACTAAGAACTTAAATATTCATCTGAACATTTTGGAGAAAAAAGAGCGGACTTTCGTCATGGGGAGCTTGGAGCCCCCATATAAATTAAATAGGAAAATTATTATATCTGAGAAACTATTAGAGCTACAATCTTCAAATATTAATTGAAGAACTTTGACATTAATGTGAACATTTAGAGAATAACGGGTGGACTTTCAATGGGGTCGTGGCACCCCCTATATGAATTAAATACAAAATTTCGTATATCTGGGAAAATATTAGATTTTTTTTAATTTGTCATCGATTAAAATCTTAATTAAAGTTCGGAAAAAATTTATCTCTGGAAAACATTACAGATAGAATCTTCAAAATTATTAAGAAGATTTTTTATTTATATTGCTTTTAGGGTAGCAAAGCACACTGGGTATAGCTAGTAAAGCTATAAAAGAAATTTCATTGAATATTTATAAAAGGTACCAACACAGTACCCAAAAATGCTACCCATACCTCTTTCTCCATTGAATTATTCAAATTTATGTATTTTATGTATCATTTCAGAAATCGATGTTGTAGAACATATATTGAGAAAATCACGTCAGAGAGGAACCCTTCCCTCTTTAATGATGTTCGTTTTGAAAAACACATTTTTTACCGATTACGGAAAAATATTAATAAAAAACAAGTAAGAAAGTATAGTCGGGCGTGGCCGACCATATGATACCCTACACCAGTTATGAATATTAAATGTAATTTATTTTTCATATTAAAGCATTTATCTTCAATATTCCCTTGTTCCGATACATTTAAGCAATTTATGGATGAAAAACTAATTTTCTGTAAGAGGCTTTATTATCCATATTTGCCCCTAGCCCCCATCTAGGGGCAAATATGGACCAAGCCCGATAAAATTTTGTGAATATATTAATATTTACATAATATTTTATTGTGCTGATTTCATCGCGATGTTTGTGTTTATAAGTTAATTTGGGACATTCAAGTAATTTTCTGAAGCGGACTTTGTATGGGAGCTAGGGTCAAATGGGGCCCGATCTTTATGAAATTTGCCAGGGTCATCAAGACTTATATAAAACTTAGTTGTGCCGTATTTTATCGATATATCTGTATATTTAACATAATTATGAGCTCAGAAGCCTTTTTCGGGGTGTTCTGTTCTATGGGGGCTAGGTGAAATAATGGACCGATTTTAACCATTTTCAATAGGCTACGTCCTTGTCAAATAAAACGTGCGTGCCAAATTTCATCCAATTATCTTGAAAATTGCGACCTGTACCTTGCGCACAAGGTTTACATGGCCAGCCAGCCAGACGGACGGACATAGCTTAATCGACTCAGAAAACGATTCTAAGCCGATTGGTATGCTTTAAGGTGGGTTTTTCCTGTTTTTCCCTCTAGGGGTGGACTCTCGAATACACATATCTCTGAAACTAAAAACTCATCGTTTAAAATATTTTTACCTTAGAATGAAAAAAAATCAGACTATAACATATAAGTAAAAATTTTTCCTTTTTTCGCCTTTTCTCCTATTTCGAAACGGAACTTTGCTACATAATACATATTTCAGACACTTTAAAAGCATAATCGGAAATGTTTTTGCTTGAGTATAGACAATAATTAGTATTTACTCCCAAAAGTACGAATTTTGTCTCTTTTTCATCCACATACCCCTTCTTGTCCCTTCTTATCCAAGTTTTGGAAAACAATATAGTATATCACATCGTACACCTATATATCTAACTACATATGTTTCAAATTAAGTGTAATTAAAAATATTACGCACACGCTACAGGTCGCAATTTGCAAGATAATTTGATGAAATTTTGCACATACTCTTCCAAGGAATCCTATTGAAAATGGTTAAAATCGGACCATTATTTCGCATAGCCCCCATACAATCGCACGCCTGAATATGGCTTTTGAGCTCATAAATATGTTAAATGTTCTTGTATTACACCAAAAATCGGCAAAACTAAGTTTTTTATAAGTTTTAATGACACTGCTGATTTTCGTAATGATCGGTCCTCATTTGATCACATCCCCCATATAAAGTCCATATGGGGGATGTGATCTGAACCATCAAGTTCTTCATAAAAGAACTTGATGGTTCAAATTCACTTATAAACACTAATATTACGGCGATATTCTACATAAATAACTTTAATGTAGACGTAAATCCCTTTACCCAAATTTATAAGGATAGGCCCATATTAACCACCTACCCCCATATAACCCTCTTTTAGAAAATCCTTTTTTGTCAATAACTTGTAAAAATATTTCTGAAAAATAAATTTATATGCTTTCTTATTAAATAAAATAATCAACATTTGTATCATAATCACTGGTGTAGGGCATCATATGGTCAGCCATACCCAACTATAAATTTTTACTTTAATTGTGTTATTTATTCATTGAAACTACTTCAATGAATTGTACAAAAATATCCATTTATTAAGTCTCTTTACGCAGCAAAAACAGATTTCCCTTTTTTACCCGTTTTTCCCCCTAAGGGCGGGATTTCTAAATATATGTACATATGTCTGAAACTATCAAAATCATAGCAAAGACTATATATTTATAGTCTTTGATCATAGTTTATAATATTTTGGCTTTAGAATAGAAAAAATCGTTCTTAAAGCACAAAAGTACTAATTTTGTCATATTCTCGAAATTTGGCCAATTTCTTTTGTCTCCTTCCGGTCCAATTTTCGCAACGGCACTTTGTTAATATATATTTCTAACAAATTAAGTAGTTTAATCGAAAATGATTTTTGCTTAAGGATAGACAAAATCAGTAGGTATTTACTATCAAAAGTACTCATTTTGTCCGTTTTTCACCCATTTTTGCCCCCTCCTAGTCCAAGTTCTGAAAAAATATATAGCCTAGAACACTCTCCAAGTATAGATCTAACTATGTTCCAAATTTGAAGAAAATCAGTCCAGCCGTTTAGGCGTGTTTGACTAACAAACAAACAAACAAACGAACAGACTTACAAAGAGATTAGATCTTGAATGAATGTCTGCGATGTCACTATTGTATGCAGTACTGAACAAAAACCACTTCTTAAATAGGGTAAATAATATATTCATATTACATATTTCACAAAAATTCGAATTTTAAACTTAAATCTACAAATCCATCTAGAAAATCATTTATATCTCCCCTTAAAATTTCTATTTATATAACTGTTTAAAAATTTACTTTAAATAACTCTCAATTCGAGAAAAACTAAAGATCCGTAATCACTCATATTTTTCATACAAAAATATAAAATTTAAATTTATTGTTAAATCGATATAACAATAAAAATCTGCAATAAGTTAAAAAAACCATCAAAAATTATCTTGATATAAATTCGGTTGCCATTTTTTAAATGCAGCTCAAATCTAAAAAAAACATGATATGTATTTGACTACTCATTAGAGTGTCCTGAAAGACAGAACTTTTGCAAATCTTATATAGGTATACCTCTGAAACGATGCATATAAAGCATTGTTCATATAAAATATAGATGAATTCATCTTTCAATATCTTTTTATACTTTTAGAAAATTATCCACCAAAAATTATGCACGTATGTAGCACCGTATTTATTCTAAGCTTTTCAAATTAAATAATGATTTTGAATAATTCCAGCACACATTTTCCATTTACCATTAACAAATTCCG